CAGCTTTTTTTTTTGTCCTGACACACAATGACCCCAAAAAAAAGCCCCAGTACAACGAATTTCAATCATATTGAACAGACCTGAATAAATCCTTCCTTCATGGAGCTCATAATGTTTAGCTGTTGACACTAGGGCTGGGCCTGTTGCTGCATTACTGCAGTAATATGATGCCCACCACACAGTTGAGCTCATTACCGTCATCACTGCTACTACTTCCAATAATTCGTGCTCTCAGTCTTAAGCATTTCATGGGAATGAGGCCCCAGTATTCACTGAAATAACCTAGAATAATATTATGTTATAATATTTGAACAAATAAACAGGACTTAAGTGCCAGTGCAGCTCTGGTATGCGCTGCCCTATTGCCATTATTGGAAAAAAAAGACAGTTCCAACTGTCATTGTGTCAGGAGAAGAGTTGACTCTTACTTCATGGCAAATTTTGCTGCAGCAGTTAGTGATACTGTGTTGAATTGGATAGCGTAAAAGGTGTTTCTATTTTTCCACTTTCAGTATAATACAGTTCAACTCACCACCACTAACTATTGCCCTAAATTTACATTAGAGTTGAGTCTACTCACGTCGAGGAACGTTATTGGTTTTATAAAGGTTGTCTTTGTTTATGACTCGTTATTTGGGGATTTTAAGAAAAACCTGTTTTTCGCACCAGACTTGATCTGCAGCTCATTTGCATTTGCAACATTTGCATTACTCGAGGCATATCTGAGCTATGTACACCAGATGCATGCTGACTGTTAAAGGACAAGTTTTGAATGTGACGGGACATGCATTTCTGGTGAAAATTAAGTTTGAAATGATCTGTTTTGTAAAAGTCCAGGTATTTTGTCAGTAAAAGACTGCACATTGAATTAGAAGTCTTATATTTATTGCAGATATGTTATGTTGGATTGCATTGCAATGCAAAGGGGTTTCTGTTTCTCTGTGGAAACATTTCAAACACAAACACATTCATAACTTTAAATGAAAGTGCTTTACACTCCAGACACACATCTTCAGTTGAACAATGTCTGCACGCAGACACTAATCTTGGTCCCTTTGGCTGTAGCTCGGACTCGGAAAATGCCCCCATACAGTGGACCAGCGATACAACAAGTGGTGCACTTCCATATTTAATTTTAAAAACACAGCTGGAACTGTGACCTGTGACAGTGGACATTTGTTTGCAGTTTCGCTCTGTGTTTCAGAACTATTACACACCCACTAAATATTTCTGTTTTAAATATTTACTGTGGAGTATCTGTTTCTCTGGAAATATCCTTTGGTGCATGGTTTGGCCCAGTACTGGCACAGTGTTTGGTATCACAGCATTGGAGTACGGTCTAGACCTGCTCTATTTGAAAAATGTCCTGAGATAACTTCTGTTATGAATTGGCACTATACAAATAAAATTGAATTGAATTGAATTGGACCCAGTGTACAAGTGATCTCTTGGAAGTACAAACAATGTAGCAATGAACAGGCTGTTGTTGGATAGCGAGAAGCAAGATGTTAAACCTCACATACTCTTTGGTTTGAACGAACATGACAGGAATGGCATTTGCTTCAGATCTTAATGTTTTCATTTGGAAATTTATAATGATACTGACGTGTATATGCAGTGACTGATAGTCGATGATTGCACAGCTGCAAGGATGAGCTGGCAAGGTGCACCAGGAGGGCTTGAACATTAGAAAAATGTCATTCTAATTCCATTTTTCAGCTTTGATTCTGTCACAGTAATTTGTTTTTCACCAGGAAATCCACCCTGCCGTGTACACGTGGAATATCCCCTTTATTCAGCTTACATAACACTAATTCTGCTGTTTCATTACGCAACATCCAGAATGGGGATGAGTCATTTTAAGCTATCATTCAGAGGGGAGGGTGAAATACCCTGAACTAGTGTAAATTTCACAATTTGACCATACATTTTCTTAAGGATGATAGGAAGTGCTTCTCTACATTTTCAGCTGAGTCACAAGTTCTCAGTTTTATGGCATTGAGCCATTAAGGTGAAATGCCATTTATTTGGAAAAACATGAGAGTATCTATATCTCCAGCAGTTAAACCGTTATATTGCAGTCAGAGGAAGTAGATTCAGTTATCACAGTTGATCAGGTTGTGTGTTGTGTGTGTGTGTGTGTGTGTGTGTGTGTGTACGTTGGACTATTTGCACTGTGGTTTCGCTGCTGCTGGAGCTGTGAACTCGACTTTATCACACACTGACAGTTCCTCTTCCATACACTGCGTTTTGATCTATGACTCCCATGATGGCGGCTACTTTTTCCCTCTGTGAAGTTTCAGTGTGTGTGTGTGGCATGTGCACATGGGCAAGAAGGGCTGTGATCTGCTGTGGCACTTCTGTGGAGGATATTAACCCTAGAGCTAGATTCCTTTGTCCCAAAATACCAGTTCTGTATAAGCATACTGACAGATTGTGATGATGAAACAGCTGTGCAATAAAGCCTTGTGTTCTTGTCAGACATCTCCTCATCGTATCTTTTGTTTCTCACTGTTTGTTTCTGTTTGGTCTTTTTGTCTTATTGGTTTTTGTGATGTCACCCCAGTTTTATTTGATTGGTTCTTTGCTGTGGTGCAGTAGCCTACATCTTAACGTGCACTGTGACAGACATCTGCTGGTCTTTTTTTGACATAAAGCAATTACAGGCTTTCACTAACAATTTTCATTATTGACTGAGCTGCCTGTTGTTTTTTAATTAATCAGTCAATCATTCAATCTATAAACTTTATAAAATGATTTAAAAAAAATGCCCATCACAATTTCAGACAGGTTTTGTCTGACCACAACACAAAAATATTAAATGTACAATTATATACTACAGAGACAAGCAGCAAATCCTCACAATGCAGATGCTGCCAATTAATTCTCTGTCAATTGTCTGATCAATTCATAATTGTTTTCCTTTCTAAAAACTATCAGTTTAAAATCAAAAAAGATACATTAGGGTGGCTCGGTTGCCTAGTGGTTAGGACACATAGCATGTATAGCTGGTTTGATTCTGTATCTTCACATACAATCTGACAAAAATGCAGAGAGATTAATCATTGGTGAAAATAATTGTTAATTGCAGCTCTTATTTGTTAATCTGTGTCGGTGCAGTTCCAAGCCACGAGTCTTGATTGAAATGACACGATGAATTAGCAAATAGCTCAAAGACAAAGCTCCTCATGCAGCGTTGGGGAAGGAACAATGAGGCTCACAGAAACCGAAGACTTTACAGAGTCTTTTGATTTGATAGATAAGGCCTACGTGACATTCATTTCAGCTTCTTTTTCAATCTGACATGTCCCCTCAGGATACCCTCTCTACCGTTAAATGTACTTAGATTCACTCTGCACAGCCAATTGTTGGTTGACCTCTAGCTTTATAACTGGAAGCAAGTGACTGAGTGGAAGGAGCTCCAGCTTTGTGACAAACACACACACAGACACACATCTCTGAATGTCAGTTAACTTGTTTTCCATTCAGCCCACCACCCTCACCTCTTTGAGCTCCCTACTCTCCTCCTGCCCTGCTGTGTTTCCCCCTGTCAGCAGCTAATTGGCTTCTCTTTAGGTCTCTCCGGGATTTGTCTCAGTGTGTGGAGGTGTGTTGGTCTGACCCTGCTGGCATCAAAGACACTAAGGCAGTAGTTGCTTCACCATGAACTATTCTCACAGTGAAGGCAACCTTCATGACCTTGTAAGCAGAACAAGTAATACTTTTCAGCTCAGACAAAACAGTTGCCATACTTTTACAGTTGTGAGGTCATGCATGTCAATAATAAACAAAGTGATAAGAGGAAATGAAATTCTGTATTTCTGTGTAGAGTAAACCATGGTGAATGTTTTCCAGGATAGCCGGATGTTGAGCTGTAGACATATTTTGAATGTCTGTGTCCCCAGCATTTGCTGTCATTCTCTAAGCTGCTCTGTCTGGTTATCAGCCCTGTGGCTCTAACTGACTGGCTTCCTTGAACAAACAAACTTGTCTTTACAGTTATGTAGGTTACGGTTTCTCCAAGCGTTGGAGTTTCACTCCTCTCCACTCCAAATTCACACATAGAAATCCGTCACATGTCACAAAAGTACTACTCAGCCACATAATGACTTCTGTGGCTTGAAGGGAGCTTTCTAAAGTTTTAACAAATTACCCTGATGATGTCAGTTTTGAGGCAGCAGACTGTCTTGGCAGGCTCCCAGGAAGAACAGCGGGCTTTGAAGCCAATTGGAATTAGTGGCCAAACTGTCTTTGAGGGTCACTACGCATCAGAATTTGATCTATTCAGTCCGATAACATTTGGAGAGTCTAGAAGGGGGCATAATTAGATAATTTTATCCCCATTCAAGGTAGTGGAGGGCTACATTGTCTCTAAGACTCTAACAGAAGTAAGATCTAACTTTTTTGGCTTCATGCGACACTGAACAGCTGGCAGAAGAATGAACAGAGCCCCACCTCTAATGTTTAATCCAGTTTCCCCTCAATACATCCAAAGCTCTAAATTGTCTGTCAGTGGACGTATCTCTCAGTGAGATATAGGACCACAGTTTTGGATTGATGAGCAACAATTTCATGATTGTCAACTTTTGTGTGGGACAACCCAGCGATGCAGGCTCAGGGGCCTTTAGTGTGCTGTGATTGAATGTCTCAATGCTGGTACTACTGTGGGTGAGGCTGTTTTGATGTTAACGGCTCATTATTTTTTTCCCGTGCTTTCTAATGAATTAAATGCAGCAGGAGGTGTGGAATACTTATTTTTTTGTATTTGTTTGAGCTTTTATTGCCTTTTTAATTGATTGTGACAGCTGAAGACAGCAGAAATAGGGGAAGAGAGAGGGGATGACACGCTGCAAAGGGACAAAGGTCGGAGCCGAACGCAGCAAGGACCCAGCCCTGGCGAGCCACCAGGACACCTCCAGTGATCTTGTTTAATCTAGTTTTGCACATATAAAAACATTCTCTGTTACAAACTATTGCTTTGTAAGAAAGACAGTGAAATGAAATAGTGCAATGCTGTTTATTTTCAGGCAAAGATCCATTTGGCACCTACAGTACAATAAGACATAAGACATAGTACTTCAGATGATTTGAATATGAAGCTTAACATGCTGTGAATGGCCACTTTATCACGTTCTTCTTGTTGAGTAATAGCATTTTTCTGCTTTGATTTCCATCATGCTTTGAACTGGTACTTCTGGCAGCCTGCCTCCATACTGCTAACACATTAGTTTATGCAGTCTCTTCTAATCACATTATGGAGACACTGACTAGATGCACTGCTTTCCCTGCAAATTCTCTCTCTTTCTGCAATCATCATAGACACATTTAAAATACAGTGTTTTAGTGCCATATGCTATATTTTTACTTCCACCCACTTAGACTCCTCTTTATACTGTCCCATGGTTTACCTCGCAGTGGTTTGCATGAAGAGAGAATCAGCCTGTACATGTGTCCAAAGAACTTATTCTTATTTCTGTATTGTGTGTGTGAGAGAGAGAGTGTGTGTGATTAGTGATGCATGAGTGATGCATGAATCTTGTGATGCATGAATGTGTCAATATATACGTCTTCTGCAGAGCACCAGTCCAATTAATTGCCTTCACAACACAAATATATTACATTTACTATGACACTTTCCTTCATCCATTATCACCTGTGCTTAATGCCGGGGTGTTAAAAATGTTACAAGTTAAGAATTAATGCTGTAGTCTGTAATCTGTACTATATGAACCCAGTATCACATGGACTTTGTAATGTGGATGCTTGATGATGATTTAATGAGGAGAAGCACATGGTTTAACAAAGACTGATAATTTGCATTGGAGTTGATGACTGCAGATAATACCTTGCTAATTTGGTTTTTCAGTGTCGCAGCATCGGTGTACGTTGCTGATCCTTTAGTAATCTGCCCTGCCAGTCTCTGATAGGTTGAACCGTTTTCACAGCCCTAACAGCAGCTGTTTGTCAGGCTGATTGGAACTGCTCCTTTTGCTGTCCTGTTTGTCAAACTTCAGATCTTGGATTGATTTTAAAATAAATTTCTTTAGATAATTATGAGGAACGTTACTTTTTCTGACACATATCTGTCTTCTTTTGGCTTTCTGCTGATGGCACTGTCACCTGTTTCCATTTCCTCAAACATCTGGCCGTGTACCATCAGTCTTCCGCCTCTTGCTCAATCAGTGGAGAGAAGCTGACAAGCTCACTGCCAGCTTTACACAGGAAGTCAGACTGCGTGTCTGACTGATTGAGCTCCAAGTATTTCCAACTGCATTCATTTAATGTGACTGTGCTGAGCTTGCACATTGTCCCATTTCATTGAAGAAAGTTGTCTGTAACCATTTCGGTCCATTTGCTATCTGCTGGGGATCAGATGAGTGTTGTTGGTCCTTGTGTGCGTAAGTAGTGAGGATTTGTCATGGTTCATTTAATGAGTAAACAGATGTAGCCTGGCTGCAGGCTCTTCTACAGTTCACTTTTTCCTTATCTCTGCTTCGTAAGGAGTCGCCACTCTGTCTCCACCTGTTCTATAAAGAAGGTAAAAATAAGTTGAGGTTTGTTCATTATCATACCAGGTTTTTTAGTAGTATGCTTTAGGCTACATGAAACTCAAACTCATGAATTTGTATTTAAATGAACGTTCATTCTAATGTTACTTCTGCTCATTAAGGGTTCATCTCAGTTCAAAATACAGTTTATGAATAGAGCTCAGTGCACTCTACCTGCTAGCTGCTGGGTACTAATCAAAGTTGCCCCAAAATTAATTCCTGCAGTATTTCTTTTCCACATGTAGCAATATCACCACCTTTAGGACCTATCAAGTATATCTACATAGAGCAGCAGCAACACACACACGGGTGAGGATCCCAGAGCATAATGGACTTTCCATACAACCACTAAGCTAATGCAGTAAGTGATACAGCTCCAGAAAAAGCAACATGACATTTTTTTTTACTGGCATCCAACCAACTACTGTCAGGGATTCTTCTTTCAGATTGTATTTGGATCTAACTGAAACAGTCACACCATCATTGCATCTGCACTTTCACAGGAAAAGTGAGAATAAACGATGGCCATTTTGGCTGTGCTGAATATGTTCTGTAGCTTCAGAGGCTCACACATATTCCTACAGATATGGAAAAAAGGTGTACCTCAAGGGCTCACAAAATAATATATTTTTTCGTGCTAGAGATGCTTTGGTATCGGCATATCAGCAAATTAGATGGCTTTTGCTGATACTAGTAGCCGATGTTTATCCGATTTGTCGCATTAATTTTGAGCTTGGTAAATGTTGTTTGTTATTTCCAGGTCTGATATTGGATAAATAATCACCTTCATTTTCCAGCACTGGCACAAATTGCATGCAAACACTGATATGATCCATACAGCAGCACGGACAGTGAGCGGCTGTTCAGCTCTGCGTCTCACATCTTGGGTGAGAAGAGAAATAGTCTGAGCTGCAATAATGCGTTGATGCTTAGAAATAAATAACAGCAAAAAAACATCTGCTATCAGCTAAATTGTTATTTTAAACATCGGTATTGGTATCGGCACAGAATTTTCCAGTTGGCTCATCCCCTGTCAGAGCATTTGGACTGATGACACTGTGCAAAGACATGCTGTGTAGTGAGTCTGTCTGATTTTCTCTGCAGCGCAAAAGAGTCTGAATCTTACGAATAGGCCTTTTTCACAGCAGACATTTTAACTTAGTAGGAAAAGCGTAGGTGATACTAACAAGATTATTGATGGCTTTGTTCTGACCTGGAAATTGAAATAACTAAATGGCATTCAGCCGTCATCCATTTTATTAACAACTACTGTAAAAACCGACTGTCTTTAGTAAAAAAGGCCTTTTACTTACTTCAACTTATAGACGCTAGTTAGCACCTGTCTTAGTCTTAGATTTTGAATCAAATCATTTTGAAAACAAGGATGTACGTGTTATGATCTTTCCTTTCGCCTCACTCACCTGCTGTCACAGCAATACTTTCCTTGACTGAAGTCTTGAACATGCATACAGAAGAAAGCAATTAGAAGCCCGGTTTAGCATATACATGGCCAAGAAATCTGCTCTCTCAGGAGATATCTAGCTGAGAAAATCGTGTTTCTCTACACCCCTGCCCGGATTATGGAAACTGAGTTTCTTGACACTAAAGAAATCTGCTTACTGCAGAAAGCCAGCAGGAATCCAGTTACTTAAGTGCAAGTAAAGGCTCTGATTGGAAGTTCAGCACAGTAGGGGGTTTACCAACGAGGAATGTCCAAGTAAATAGTCAACATGATAAAAGAATATCAAACATTGTTCAGCCTGTCTGCTGTGCACTACTTTGTTCAAACGGCACTTACAAAGTTATGTTGGCAGTTAAACTGAGTCTTTGTGCTGCGGTTGGGGAAAATCCCAGCCCTTTACATTATCTGTACATCCTTCTGATTTCATTGTAGTGAGTGTTGAATGAGCACAGTGCATATTATGGCAATCACAACTGTCCTTTTTCGCAGCATGTGCTAAGTGGGACTTTCCAGAGTAATGATGAAATGTCAGCGACAAAGATTGTGACAGGTTAAGTCAAGTGGAAATAACCCCAGCAGAAAAGCAAAGTAAAGAAAGGTGAGAAGGCTGCGGTCAGATTTTCAGTGAAAAACTACGCACGATTTCCTTCCCCACTCCTCTTCTGTGCTCCCTTGATATTCCTCCCCACTGCTCCTCTCCTAAGATCCACATGAACGGGCGCATTAAAGGAAATGACTACTCAGCTTACTTCCCATCAAAGAAATGTTGTTACCCTGATTAAATGTACAAAGAAAGCTAGAAATGATCATAATGGCCTTGCCTTCTTTTCACAGCTGATTAATCTTTTAATGTGACAACAAACAGAGTCTCGTGGCTGTCACAGATAAATATTTATCAGGATTACACATTCTTTGTCCCTGTTTGATAACCAACAAAAGACAAAGGGGCTTGATTGCTTTGTTTTACATAACATTACAATTCTCTGCACAAACAGTAATGAAGTGGGGGAATTTAACTGAAAAGTGTCACTTTGTCTCTCTACTTAACTGCTAGGTTAGGCTTCATTCCTTTCCCCTCCTTCCTACCCCCCCCCACACACACACACACACACCATCCCCTCCCATCTCTTTCCCTGATATTCACTGTGTCACTATGTCTTCCCCAGCTTGAAGGTTTCTGCTGGTTGCCAGTTAAATTAGCCCAGAGAGTTGTTGAAGCACAGCATTCCTCTTTGATGTAGCCCAGCCAGTCCCTATACTCTTTTACTCTTGTTGTTGCTCTTTCCCCCCATCTCTCATCTTTCTGTCTCAGAGCCAATATATTTCTTTCTGCTCCCCTTTTCGCCGTTGATCTTGTTTTCTCTGTCACGTGGCTTGACTGCCCTTACGTGTTATCCTGGCAGTGACATGAATGGTGAAGTGAACACATGGGGATGTTTGTAGAGGAGATTGGCGTATTTTCCTCTGTTAAAGAGATTAGTGGTGTCTGAATAAGGAGATCGACTGAATCCTGGCTGATAACCTGGCTGACTACAGGAGAGTGACCTGTAATATCTCAGGGAAGATAGACCGTATCCTCTAGAAGGATTCCACTTAGATAGGAAATACTGCAGTGAATTCAGCTAATGCAGTCTTAAAGCACTGTTACAGACATAGCATTTCCATTAGGGTTTTCAGGGGGAAAGGTGTACATTTTGCCAGCTACACAAGGCTCCATTGAGCTGAGCTGTAATACTATATCCCAGTATCTTTTAATTATGCTATGGCTATAGAAAACACTCATTTCTGATTGACAGAAACAGTTTGACCACTGTTCTGTAGAGTGCAAAGGGACTGTGGGTTACCATAGCAACAATATTTGAATACAGCCTCTCTTGTTTTTCCTTTGGCAAAAAAGCATGATAATACACTCCTTCACACCTTCCTCACTATGATGATGGAAGTGTTCAGATCTGCAACAAACTAACTGATAATTTCTCTAATATCTTTCCTCTGTGTCCTTTCATGTGGACAACCGAGATCTGAACATGTGCACTGTTGTCTTCATATTTAAATGATATCCTGCTCCCCCCCCCCCGTGACAGCTCTGCCTTCCAGTGCAGCTGTTCAGAACAGCTATAAACACATTTGATTTCCAACATGGTTAGACAACATGTCCTAAGAATCACTTATTTTCCAGCATAACCTGACACTTTGATATACAGGATATACTGCGTATACATTAGGGGTGTAAGAAAAAATTTAAAAATATTGCAATATTTAGTTTTGTAATTTGTGTCGGGCTGTGTATTGGCAAGAGTCTGGCAATATAATATGTATCACTATACGGGGGTTACGATTCAATATGCATAGGAAAACAATATGCATAAAATCTGAGCAGAAGTCCCTGTAACGTCCAACATCATAGCTCTCAGTTTGCATTCACAGCATTGCCATCTAGCGTTTAAGGGGTTCAGTAGCAAAAATCAAAAATCACAAAACAAAATATCGCAATACGATATTTTTCAATATTTACTTTGCTTAATATTGATTTTCAAAAACACCCCCATAAAGGTCAAGTTAACTTTTTTAACTCAGACTTTATGCATATGGAGGTGATCATTACACTATGATAATCTTCTTGAAATTTGATTTTCTTGAATTGCAATATATCACCTTGCTTACAGTATCACAATATATTGAATCGTAACCTTTGGATTGTGATATGTATCATATCACCAGACTCTTGCCAATACGCAGCCCTCGTATACTTTACAAACTTTATTCTGTTATTTTTGGTAGTCTGCAGAATTCCCATCTTTGTAAATCCCAAACCTCTAGCAGTTTACCAGCTTTTTAAAAGCCAAGTAAAAAGTGTTTCATTGAGCCCCAGTTGAGGGAGAAGCTTTGTCAAGAGCCGGCTGTGAATTTCTCTTTCAGCCTGAGAGCCAAATGACAAATAGGACAGCCTTGCCCCAGAAGCCAGACTCATGGAAACATATTGCCTCCTTCATCATGTGGGCAGCCACCCACCATAGATAGGCCCTTGACCTCTAATTTAAGAAACAAAGCTCCAGGCCTCACAATGACAAACTGTAATTGCTCTAGTTACTCTAAATGCATTTGCATCATTTTTCCACAGTTAGACCCAGTGTAGCCGCATCGACCTACATGTTCCACTGCAGTCCATAATCGGAATGGTTATGCTTTATACCCTCATGACTATGACGACAAGTGTCACACAGCAACCTTGTATTAGTATTGATGACCTGCTTTTAATATGAGGATACATACAGGAGCAGAGATTTCCACTGCTATATCTCTGTGTCATTTATTATTAGGAACTTGACCTTAGTCTGAGTGGAGACTGAGTGTAGTAGAGTCAGTATATAGGCCAAAAGAAAGAGAGTGGATGAGCGGCCTGCTTATGCTGCGAGATTTTTATAGTCTCAGCAAAAGTTAAAGAGAAAGCGTATTATTCTCAAAGAAATGATCAGTCACATCAGTAATACAGTAAACAAGCAAACCAAGGCCAGCCAGCCACCCCCTCTGTCTATAATCTCTAATAGCTCTCATACATGTTGTCATAAGGTCTGGAGCCTATAGGGCTATCAGCTCATTCTCATGGATGAGCCTGCCTCTATATTTACTGGCAGCTACATTTCATGGTCTGCATTAAAGAGCCCACAGCACACACACAAGCACACACAGACAGACCTGCTGTATGGTCTGTATACCTAATAAACGTCATGATTTTATGGTAGTGTTGCTGAGGAGCCGGTGCACGGTAGTCACAAAACAGCAGTCCTCAGGCCAAGGCTGCAGTGATATGAAAGGAAATGCACTCATCACTCAGTGGAAAATATGAAAGGCCGGAGCAGACACTTCAAACAGTTTTAAGCTGTCTGCTACCAGAGCAGTAAAGTTGACAAATGTAATCAGGTTCATCATGACCATGTATCGGAGTTTGTGGATCACGAAATGGCCAGTGTGGTTTTGTTTGCCAAGCTCAATTGGTCATGCTAATATCTTCCTGGCATTTGTAGGAAAAGATTGTCGTGGGGTGAATTTTAAAGGTCCAGTGTGTAACATTTAGCAGGATCTATTGTCAGAAATGGAATAAAATATTCATAGGTATGTTTTCATTAGTGTATAATTACCTGAAAATAAGAAATCATTGTGTTTTTGTTACCTTAGAATGAGCTGTTTTTATGTACAGAGGGAGCGGGTCCTCTTCTACAGAGTCTTCCATGTTGTTTTTTCTACATTAACCCAGAATGGACAAACCAAACGCTGACTCCAACGCTGATAGATGTTTCTCAGCCCGTTCTCATTCCCAGGTCCTCAAATATTGGCTGGAGCTGTGTTAAGTTGATTGCAATCTGCAATTTCACCACTAGATATACCACTACATCCTACACACTGGTCCTTTAAAGGGTAAATTAACACCTGCTGAAAATCTTGTTTTTGCTGACCTTTCACCTTGCTGCAGTAATGCACAGCTGTACTCCAGGACCCAGTGACATCACTGTTGGGGGTGGTGACGGGTTCAACCGAGAACACTTCTGGGTTTGGTTAGAGGTAAAACGGGCTTGAAACTTCCAACCCGAGAGTGCAGCAAAACACAGCTTTTTAGGCTGCTGTTTAGTTACTCTTTAATGTTGTTTTAGAGTTTACTCTCAAATGTAAAAAGATTAGTAGCAAACTAATAACAAATTTAATTTTGTAAGATATCGCATCCTATTCTTCTGTCAAGACTTTATAGCACTGTGACCATATCGCTTTTTTTTTATCCATGCTGTGTACTAAACACTTAACATAACATAACATGCAGGGTGAGTAATGGCACCGAGCCACCGACTAAATGGAGGTCAATTTTTGCTGTGGCTGGTCAGTTTGTCTCCTCTGACAGCCACGTGGCAAATAATTGGCCATAAGCTGGAGATTGTATTCAGCACTAAGTTGTGCTGTTTTGACTAAAGTGAAAATAGCAGGTGAACTCTGAGAATTGCCAGACACAGTGGGCACTATACACAAAAGCCAGCCTTCTTCCCTGAAGCCACAGCACGGACAGAATGGAGAACTTTAAGAGGAAGCTACTGTGTGCAATCTTTGAGCTGATGTTGTGGGTAGTTTAATGTACATTATATCCATTTAAACT